CCCCCCCCCCCCCCCCCCCAAGTCCCAGACCTTGTAGGGAGAGAGTGTACAGCGTAGTAGAGAGACCTGGTGAGGACCTCTGCGTGAGGCCAAGCTTAGCTCAACCCACGGCTGTGTGACCTCCGGTTGATCACTTAACCTCTCTGAGCTTCAGTTCCATTCCCTGTAAAATGAGAACAGTAATTCCCATGCGGGTTGTTTTAAGGATGTTGTGATTGTGTATGTGAAAAGCTTTCTGGAAACCGTTTTATGCCAAGATTGCTTGAAGATTGTAAGAAAAAAAAAAGGGAAAGCTCTCCTGTGAGATCATTTGGGGACAGTAGTGTGATCGTGGCTTCCAGATCAGCCCGCGCTTTGCTCTTTCTGCCTCTTCATTTTCCCCAGATGGCCAAAGTCGGCCCAGGGAGTTCTGTCTTCCGTGGGATCCCCAGAAGGCTGGGGGTCTTGGAATGGGGCAGGCTGCTCCCAGTCTGTGAGTGAGCCTTAAGAGCTGCCACTCAGACAGTTGTCCAGAAACTTCCCCCATGGTGGGGCGCCGGGGCTACAGGAGACTTGAAGGTCCGTTCACCTGCATGTCGCGATCCCAAACGGGTCTGGCCATGCCGCACTCTTGGGTGCATGTTTGAAGAATTCGGTGGGATAGCGTGTGTGCAACCCTGGAAAGGAGACGGTGATGGGCCCATCTCGGTGATCTTATGACGAGTCTCTGTGTGTCGCCTGTCACTCGGGTCCTGTGGGTCTGGGCGGGGCTTGGTGAGCCTCGGAACGTGGTGAAGAGCCACAGGCAGCCACTTGTGCCTGTTAGAACGGGGACTCTTCCTTTGAGAGGCTGGAATGTGCAGAAGTTGAATTTGACGGTTCAGGACCCATTTTCCTCTGGGTTGTTTTTGTGCAAAGGAGCATGCCGGCCCCGCGGATCAGCGTGGGCCTGCGTGGTGAACGGCAGGTCTGCAAGGGCTGCAGACAGAGCATTTTCCCCATTCTAATGTGCGATAGCACTTAGACCTCATCTTATCTGGTGATTTAGAGGATGTCTAAACATCCGCCCGGTGGCCAATCTGTATCAGAATCCACCAAGGCGCAGGTTAAAAACAACGATGCCAGATCCCACCCCAGATCTACAAAGTCAGCATCCCCAGGGGGAGACCCGAAGTATCTATACTTTCAACAGGATTTCTCTGGGAGAAATCAGTTCTTGTCTGTCATCCTCGCTATACAAATGGAGAAACTGAGGCCCAGAAAGGGCATGTGACTCAGTGAAAGTCACACAGCATGTTATTGACAAAGACAGGGTAGAACCTCGGTGTCTTGACTCTTTGTCCAGTGCTCACTGATGATAACTTCATGTTTCCTTCAGGATAGAGAAGCTGTTGTGATTCCGAACTTAAAAGAAATTTAATTCCATCTCTTCTGGTTGTCGTTATAAATTAACAATCCGTTCAGGGACACTGAACATGATTTCTCGCGCCTTGACCTCCCTGGGCCTCAGCCCTGAGTTCTCCTCTAGTGTTTGGCCAGAGCCCCATTGTTTGATCTATCTGTGCTTTCAGAGAGAAAATTCCTGTTAAAAGTAGCCTGTCGGATAGACATGGTGGCTCACGTCAGCAATCCCAACACTTTGAGAGGCCAAGGCAAGGGGATTGCTTGAACCCAGGAGGTCAATACCAGCCTCAGCAACATAGCAAGACCTCATGTCTACCAAAAAATTAGCTGGGCGTGGTGGCACATGCCTGTAGTCCCAGCTACTCAGGAGGCTGAGGCGGGAGGATCACTTGAGCTAAGGAGGTCGAGGCTGTGGTAGGCCGCGACTGTGCCACTGCACTCCAACCGAGACCCCCAACTCAAAAAAAAAAAAAAATATGTATATATATATATAGCCCGTGAGGTATGACTTCAGGAATGAAGTAATCCCAGGAGCAAACAAACCCAGTTTAACTACCGCAGTTCGCCAAAGCCATTGGTTTGAGCCCATTTCGGCAGCCAGCTCGGCCCTCCACCCAGCCTTCACCGGTCCCTGCTGCCTTTGCGAGTGTCTGTGTCACTCACAGGCCCATTTCGAGGGAAGAAGATTTAGGGACAGCAGCCGCCCCTGCTGGAAGGTTGAGCCCGCTCAAATATTCTCACTGCAAATGATGTACAAACAGAAAATGACTCTAAGTCCCCAGGGCGAGGGTGGTTAACAGGGTGCGGTGGGCACAGATGCTGGCACCGTCAGGTCAAGTGAGGAGAAGCAGCAGCTCTCACGGGTGGTCCTGCGGCACACGTCGGCACTTTTGCCCGATGTGCTGTGACGAGTGCTGGTGGCAAGACCAGTGGCAGGCCCCGAGGGCAGGAGCCCAGATCACCGTGGGGGGAGCCCTGCTCTGACGGGCCCTGCAGTCCGTGTGGGCAGTGGGCACCAAACAAGCCCTGTGCCAGGCGGGGAGGTTCTGCAAGTGAGGTGGAGGTGAAACTTTGCAGCGGCACCCAGGAGGGGTAGCTGAGGGTGTCGGGGAAGACTTCTCAGAGGAGGCGTCGTCAAAGCCGGTAGCCTCACTTGCAGCACCGTCTCAGCCACGGGGTCTTTATCGCCAAACCGGGCCAGCGGCAACCAGGCTACAAGGCAGGGCATCCCACGGAGAATCAGAAGCGTTGGCAGCCGGGCTCAGCACTTGTGGGTCCCGTGTGTCCAGGCGAGTGAGTTCACCTCTCAGACCCGCCGGCATGTCATCAAACGGTGAGGATTCTAACTGCCGCGCAGGGTTGTTTGAAGAATT